ATATATATATATATATACACACACACACTTTTAAAATTTTAAACCAAACTTTTTTTTTTATCTAATTTTCTGTTTTAAGAAACAATTTTTCAAAATGATAAATCAAATACGCTATTAACAATTTTAAAATAGAAATGAATTCAAAATTCAAAATTGAAAACTGAAATATAAACCAAATCGCGTTAGATTTTGAGAACCAAATCCCCTTTGAAACGGTCCCACAAATCTTGATCAAAGCTTGATACATATAACTGAATTTTTCTCGTTATGTTATTTGGCCCCAACAATTGGCTGCCCATTTATAAAATATACGATTTCCATCTGATCAAATCTTCCGTTTGGAATGACGTGGCACAATCCGAATCGCTTATTCTCCTTTGTAGGTCCCAACTCAATTAGTTGTCCAGTTGGACTCCGTCCACTTACTCTGTTCAAGTTGACCCTTCGGTCGTATCTTGTACGCACCACCGCACACGTTAGCTTTTACCACTTTTTTGTAAAGATTCAAGGGAGTTAATTATTGGATCGATTTCATCTGCAGTCACTGAACTTTCAGTAAAATCTCAATTGAGCCACTAAAATTTAGTTTTGTCTCAATTGTGTCGTTGAACTTAAATTCAATTTCACCCATCCTTCACATTCCGTTTTCAAAACTATGAAAATTGTTTAGATGATAGCCAAACCATAAAGATACTTCACATAATTGCCACATAATATGCCAAAGAAGCAGTAATTACGTAGAAGATTTTGATTATTTGAGAATCATTTATATCAAATAGGCTCAAATTGTAATGTTTCTTGGCTAGTGTGATTTTGCTTTCAACTCTTATGTGACTGGCACGTCACACATTGATTACATGAAGATCTGTTCAAGTTCGGCTGCAAACTAAGAAATTTTCGTCAGTCTTGGGACGAAAATGATGGAATGGGACGACTTGGTTATATTTGAAATTAAATAAAAATTCAATGACTCAATTAGAATTTCGATAAAGTTCAGTGACGCGCACATAAAATTTACCCGTTAATTATTTATAGTTGCCATTTACGTTAAATTAACGGTCATGAGCGAGTAATTGTACGAGACTCATTCTCTGGTTACCACGTTGAGAATTCAAGAAGACCCATAAAGTATATTCTCAAGGTATGTGCTTGAAATCAGAAATTGTTAGAAAATGAAGAAATTCTTTTGTCTGAAAATTCAATATGTTGTATTTGGACTGGGTTTAGCTTTTGACTTTGATTAAGATTGCATTCTTGGTCTTGGGTTGAACTTGAAAATTCATAATGTATTTAATATGTGAAGAATGAAACTTGGACTGAAAATAAATTTAAGATTTTGAAGCATGGTTTGTTTTTGCTAAACTTTAGTATTTTGTATGCATAATCAAGATTTACTTCATTTACTGTTGTGTGTGAAATCTGTGAGAAACAGTTCTA